TTCCAGGCCTGTTTTTTTTAGAGTCACCAAGAGGAAGGACGAGATGGACCTTTTGTTTAGAAATGTGTTTAGGGCCCCGTCAAATATTTCGCTTTTCAAAAAGGTTCCGTCACCGCAAAAAAGTTTGAGAACCACTGGCCTAGGTGTATAAACCTAATGTGCCAGTCTCAGTTTTGTGTTTTAAATTCTCAATCATGTGTATTCTGTGTAGGCTTTGTTACTGTTTCCTAGCAGTGACACCATTATCCAACAGGAAAGCGCCTTTAGACTAATAAATAGGAGAATATACTGGCAAAGCTTCAGACTGGACCTTGAGGAGAAAATAAATTTTTTAGGTCCGTTAAGAACAACAGCTCAGCTAGAGAAGAAGTAGAATTACTTGTGTCCAACATACAGCAAGCAGCATGGCATAAAACCACACCGAATAACAGGAAATAGCTATTCTAAAAAAATAAGGGACCTAATCTAAGGAGGAAACGGCATCGGACCAGAGCTCCATCAGAAAAAAAACAAATTTAACAACGCTACCCGGAAGTTAAAAAGGGAGATAAAACGAATCAAAAATGAATCTATTAGTAAGTACCTTAGTGCTAGATTTTCAATCAAAGTTTAAACTAAGTTTAGTAAATGAACTGGGTTTAATTAAAAGGATAGTGTATTTTAAATGTAGTTTACGTCTGAACTTAATTTAAACTCTGCGAAAAACTGGATCGTCAAAATTGGGCGTTTAAACTAAGAGCAATGTTTTGACATTAACTTAATATAAGTAGAAATTTAACAATTCTTTTATATTTTATGTATGAAGTAATAGATGCAGACGATGATGAAATTGCTGTCTATTTAATAAATTGAAAATCCGTCTTATAGATAATAAAACTTATAATAACATGTATTTTCTATTCTAGAAACTTCTAAAGTCATAGTTTTATTAACAATACAATTTTTTTGCATCAGAATCTTTTTTAATTATGACTGGCTACTTCTGTAAAGTACATAAGAGTAGAGCAAGCAAAATTTACCAACAGTTGCTTCAAAAATTGGCGGCTTGTCAATTTTTTCTATTTCTGATAATTTTTCATCTTGTTTTAATAAATATGTTCTTAAAAACGCCAAAGTGACATAAAACATTAATTTTTGTCGAAAGTCCCTCGATTCAGAACTACCAACATGAATTAAACTTAGATCACCTGAACTGTGATATTGTTTTATATTTGATACAAGTTCAGGAGATTGAAACTTTAAACTACAATTGAAAAACTGGCCCTTAGTAAGTTGACAAACGTTAAATCAACTAATTATTCTCTATGAAAAGCGACAAATCGATTGAAAAGGTCCACTGATAGATAAGAGTTAGACATAAAATTCAAGAAAATATACTGGTTACTTGGTAGGCATTCAAGCCAATCTTCATATAACCCAATTATTTTATATAAACAAGTCCCAAACCAATTTGGACCAATGGCATTCAGCTCTGGGTTTGTCCAGCAACAGTAATATTCCATAACAAAGTATTGAGGAACATTGTCGATGCTCTTTGGTACATTAGAAACAGCGACCTTCATCAAGACCCGAAGATGGACCCTGTTAACCAGACTATGCACAGATTCGCTAGGAGTCCCGAACAACGGCTCTACCAACATGTGAACGTTGAGAGGATCCAACTTGTTGACAATATGAACCTGACAAGAAGACTCAAGAGAGTGAAACCTTTTGAGTCTGCCAAGAGATTGTGTTAATAACAAAGCAAAGCATTATGTGGTTTAGTATTACACGTAAGTTATCAGATCCTAAGGTATACTAGGGAGTAGAACTTCAGTTTTTAAGATTGTAACCTTAGTTAAGTTAGGTTAGAATTTATCAGATTTTAATATTAATAAACGACCCTTACGGAGTGTTTTTTCAAAAAAAAATTGTTATTTTTAAATGTTATTTTCAAATGTTATTTTCAAATGTTATTTTCAAATGTTATTTTCAAATGTTATTTTCAAATGTTATTTTCAAATGTTATTTTCAAATGTTATTTTCAAATGTTATTTTCAAATGTTATTTTCAAATGTTATTTTCAAATGTTATTTTCAAATGTTATTTTCAAATGTTATTTTCAAATGTTATTTTCAATGTTATTTTCAAATGTTATTTTCAAATGTTATTTTCAAATGTTATTTTCAAATGTTATTTTCAAATGTTGTTATTTTCAAATGTTATTTTTAAATGTTATTTTCAAATGTTATTTTTAAATGTTATTTTCAAATGTTATTTTCAAATGTTATTTTCAAATGTTATTTTTAAATGTTATTTTCAAATGATATTATTTTAAAATGTTTTAATAATTGTGATATTTTGTTTACTGTTTTATTTTTTTTTTATTCGTTGGGTTCAAGGGCCTATCTTTCAACATTCAATGTAATTGTAACATATTGAAGAAAATACTATTACATAAATAGTATGTTTACCTTGTATCTGTAACGTGTGGAGGGTGGGTTACCCCCACGGCACTTAGGCCTCATTAGGTCCATTGTGCATCCTCCTAAGAAGATAGGCACCTCCTAGCTCGTAGCCAGCCTACAGATTTAATGTAGTTGACAACGTCGCCAAGAGGTGCTTCTCTTATATCGACCGGTGTTAGCCGATACTCGCCGAACACGAATCTTCTAATAAATGAGAGCGTCGGGCAATCGTAAAGGATATGCTCGATGGTCTCATCTTCTTGTTCGCACTCTCTGCAGAGTGCGGATTATGAAAGCCCCATGATATGGAGATGCTTCCATACTTGGCAATGACCAGTCAGAATGCCTGTGACCAGACGCAGATTCTGTCTAGTCATAGTCAAGTATTTGTTTGCTGCAGTGTTGTCAGGATAACTTAAGAGCTTCCTGGCAACTCTGCAGTTTCTTGTTTCATCCCATCCTTCCTTGAATTTCACAAGGGAATGTTCTTTATTGAGGTCTGTCACTACCGATTTTGTCAGGCCAATAGAAGGACCAGGTCCAAAAAGTATTTGGTTGGCTGCTTTCTTGGCCAGTGAATCGGCAAGACGGTTACCTTTCGATGTGGCGTGACCTTTGATCCATCTTAAGGTGACCACAATGTTGATGGATACTTCGGCCAAAGCTTCGTGACATTCTAGTACTAACCCTGAATAAATTCGTGGTCTGTTCAGGGTGAGTAGTGCTTGTCTGTTATCTGTATAGATGAGCATGTTCCTTCCAGTGATATTGTTTCTGGTTATTTCTTTTGCTGCTACGAGAATCCCCATTAGTTTTGTTTGAACTACACTGGCATTATTGCTCACAGCCCATTTTATGTTTTGGTTTAAGAATCTGGAGTATAGTCCGCATTATGTTTTGTTTGTTTTGTTTTAGACAAGGCTCAGGATGCGGAATATACTCCAGATCACCTTGTACCTATATCATTTGTCACAATTTCTCTATTTCAGTACCTAGTATATTTTTGTCACATCTTGTATCTCCAAAGATATTTTAATACTTCACTACAGTGGCGGCTCGTGGGGTGGTTCACAGTGACAGATATAGGTGTCAGTACAGATATATGAAAAAATTTTCAGTGTTTTTGAAAGTTTATAATATACCTTTCTAAAAAACTGATAGTTTTTTACTTATATCTGTACCGGAATCTATATTCTGCTACTGTGAACTCCCAAAATTTTGGTAACGAGCCGCCCCTGCTTCACTATATCTAATAAATAAATAAATCAATATTTTAATATATTCGGGATCAGCTATTACGAAATATAGATCAAATTAGTAGTGCCATCTAGTGATAAATGGAATACAATATCATGAAATATAAGTAGAAATCTATTACTAATTGTAATTCCAATATACAGGGTGGCTCACGCTCAACGGGACGGAGCTTTATGGGAAAACTACCAAAGATATAAAAAATTCGTTTGGGAGGAATACGTAGGTTACAGACGGCTACAATTTAAAATTTGTTAGATGTATACAGGATGTCCCACATAAGAAAAAAAAATTAGTTCATTAAAAATTATTCAAACAAGAGTAAACAATTAATTTCTGGGAGACTTTTTTTTCCTTAAAAATTCAAATAAATCGAAAACTAATAATAATAGTAATATTAGTTAACTGACATTATTTTTGATGTAGTTTTTAATTCTAAAATAAAAAACAGGGTGTTCCATTAAAAATAATATAACTTTGTATATTTTCTCTTATGTGGGACATCCTGTATACATCTAACAAATTTTAAATTGTAGCCGTCTGTAACCTACGTATTCCTCCCAAACGAATTTTTTATATCTTTGGTCGTTTTCCCATAAAGCTCCGTCCCGTTGAGCGTGAGCCACCCTGTATAATTAAATTTATAAAACTTAACCTATATAATTATACACATTTTGTAAGTCAATAATTAGTTTCCAATTTATTTTTTATTGCATTTATTATCAAAATAATTTAAATATTTACACTTTTCAATCATTTTCTGTTAATTTTTTTGTAGGCAAATTCCGAATTTGGAAATTAAAATGACTGATTAAGCTTTAATCAGGGATCAGGATTCTTAAAAGTCAAAAACGTGTGAAACACTTTCAAGCCGTATCCAAAAACATTCAAAGCTCTGATACTTAGTCGACGAAATCTTGTCGAGTTACCGATAATTTTATCAAAGACTGCAATTGAGAACCTATCTATTTCTTGCTGATGAGTCCTAATATGGATGAAACCGGTCCAAGAATGACGTTGTCCTTAGTAAGCAAAATCAAAAGTAGAGTCTTGAAATTAAATTTATACATATATCTGCTGTCTTTCTTTTGGATATAATTCAGTACCTACTGCGGTATTAGCCAAAGGGAAACGGTCGCACGTATTTTGTGTGACATATGACTTAGTTTCATTTTACGTCTTGGACATATTTGAGTTGGAATTATTTTGCTTTTTTATACAATAAGCAATATACTTTAAAAATATGTAATAAAGAAACAATAATATTTTTTTAAAAAACAATAAATTTTTAATTCTTACCTGAGATGGGGCTGCTAATCCGGCAGACATCGCCGCTGCGGATTGCTGTGCGGCTGCAGCTGCTGCTGCCATTGATGCTGCACTTAGTGACCCATAAGCAGCTGACGGGTTATAGTAAGACGCCATGGATTGACTCATACTACTGGCCATACCTGAAACAAAACCACATACAGTTTTACACTGACTTTAGGTAAGGTTAAGAATTTTTACAAATATACTTAGTTGACATTAAAAAAAACTAAAGTCGGGTGTCAATTCAAGTGAAAATTAACTTATACGACAAAAGATGCCTTATTTGGTTTAAGAAGTTATTTTCTATGATTAGCCATCAGGCAGATAATGAACTGCTTTTGTTCTTCGTCCTTAGTAAGCGGGTTATATTTTTAAGTTAAGCTAATGGCCCGTTCTGTAACATCAAAATCTGAGACGTCAAAATCATCGCCGTATATAATAGCTCCCTTGATTTTCCCGAAAGTTCCAGATGTTTCTATAGACGGAATGGAAATATGTTCCTCCATCCAGACATTTCTAGATTGTTTCTTTTTTTAATAACTTTTTACAAACTGAAACTTTTAGGATTAATTTTTCATTGCAATCTAAAAATAAATCGTAATTAACAAAAATAGTTTCTGTACATTAACAATGATATATTATTTTAATATAATAAATTAAATGAAACCATCGATGAACACAAACAAATAAATCCATTAGCCTAAGAATAGAACAGAACAAACACGTTTGGGAAACCGATATTTTTTTTATATCGTTTTAAGTTCTGAAAAACAATCAACAAAATGCTTTTAAGTATATTTCTTTGTTTTTTAAGGATTATAATGAACTGGCCTTAATTATTTTTCAAGTATTTGCAAAATACGTAAAATCCTTTGGTTAGAAAATTAATTAATGCCCACAAACGAAGGTGTTAATTATTTCAGGACAATTGATTGATTGTCTCGCATGATGATACTCAACATAATTGACTTCATAATGTGTTATGCAACAATTCGATTATTGGACGACCTTCAAGCGTGTACGAAAGGCTCTTATTTGTAAGTAGTTGTTCTAACAACAAAATGTGTGCTATTGACATGTTGTATTTTGTGTTACTGGAATAATACTTAGGTATTATGAGTGCGAGTTGTATTGTAAATTCTGCAGAAAAGAAAGATAATTGATATTATTAAATTGATATGATGGTTATTAACGTTTAATTAAAATTACAATATTGTAAAAAAATTGATAATTCTATATAATTATTTATCAATTTGAGATAATTGGTATTTAAACAATAACAAAAATCCATTAATAATACTCACTTAAATAAGTATATAACTTAAGTTGAATAGATTTAGTAGAATTAACAAAAAAAATAGTAATATTGAGGTATATACCTAATACAATCAGAATTTTTGATTCTACTACTACCCTCCTACTTAAATTCACGGTTCAATACCTACTGGATTTTCCAAGATATAATAAAAATCGCAAAATATTTGTGTTTAACAAATCTGCTGAAAATGATAAAATATTTCTTAATATGGAATTAAAAATATTTGATAGGTGTTAATAAATTAAATATTAAAAGAAAGGCAGATACCATTCGTCTTCAGATGATCTTCTAACTCAAAAATTCACATTTATAAACAATTACATCATTAATTAATACTGGATTCATTAATCAAAGTTAACATTCGCTCTTATAAAAAAAAAAACAAAACAATCAATTTACAAGGCACGATACCACACCTTTCCACTATGGTTTCTAGAAAGGAATTTTTTGGCCAAAAGTCAAAACAAGATTTAAAAAAACAAATTATGATCTCAACTGTTTTTAATGGAGTATATTAACACTATAAAACTCATTTTGAGCCATTTAGAACAAGAATTAAAATAATAAATATCTTTTTTCTCAAAATATATTTGATAGTTTAAATAAAAAGTAAAATCACATTTCCATATCTAACTCAAGTGAGTCCAAATGATCAGGCATTATTTCTTCCAAAATTGTTTCTTCCCCTTCGTCTTTGTCATAATCATCTTCTAAATTTTCTTCATGTTCCAAAGTTTGTGGTTGTTGTTCCAAAAGCATTTCTGTAACTTCAGCTGGAAACTTAAACTTTTGTTGTTTATTTATTCGTTTTTGTAAATTTATACTTGAAATAATGGGATCTGAGGTGTCCATATCTCGATGAAAAACATCTTCGAGATTATTTTGTCGGCTTGTTTTCCTAGCGTGAAATTGTCGATCATATTTGTAAAGTTTATTTCTTGCTTCAGATCCCTCTTCCCCGAAATATCCCACGGGCAATATGGTATTCTCCATTATCTGTCTCCCATGTACTAAAACTTTGTGAATGGTTGCAGGCATAGGATACCAGGAATATTTTTTCATGTATAGTCTGGCAGTTTCATGACAAAAAATTTCAAATTTTTCTGCATCTAGTTGGTACTGGCAAGACAAACAAATTAGGATGATTTTAAATTTTTTTATTAGAGTTTCATCAACATCTGTTATTTCCGAAAACAATTTGGTGTTGCTAAAGGCTCTACGAGCAGTATTGCCGTCATTTGTGCTACCAAATCCACTTGATTTTGGTTTATCTACATGTAGATGTAAAAGGGATAAGAATCGTTCTTGAATATTTTTTTTTCTGTTGGCAAATCTTTCTTTATTTTCGGTACCTCTAACTTGCCATTCACATAAATTATGCCTGTAGGATATGTGTAGTATGCACTCGAAAAAACGAATCCAAGCATGTAATGGGCTTATTCCATATTGTAAAGTATTTGGTTTTGGGTTAAAGATATTAGTTGTTTTGAGGTTCTCAACTTTTAAAAAACTTCGGGGAGTAGCACCACATATTGGACAAGTTTGACTTGACTTTGTACCAGTTAAAGTATTAAGTACCTTTCCATCAATTAAAGTCATAAAAAGAATACATTTAATATTTATTAGCTTATTTTCAGGCAATAGTAATTTTAGTTCTTTTAGTTTTTCAATCTGCAAGTCAATATTTTTTTTCTCTTTTAATATATGTTCTGATGATTCTTTAGTATACTCTAACTTAAGTAATCTACAGAACCGAACAGACTGAGGAGTTCTATTGTTCCACAAAATAACATTATTTTTCGACTGCAAACGAAGAGGTATACAAGTCGTTGCAAATAAAGACTCATCGGACTGAGTACCTGAAGTACTGAATTTCTGTTTGTAAGCTGATTGGCCACTACTTCCATCGAAGCCATAACTAAATATTATTTCTGCACTAATTTCATTCAGCTTAATCATTTTCATGTACTGCACAATGGCCTCTTCTTGTAAAAATACAATTCTTTTTGTAGTATGTTCTAGAAGATTTGATAAAGGAACTTCTGCTACAATATCAGAAACAATAATACCGGTTGGTCTACATTTAGGTTTACATTTCCACACTTCATTATAATTTGGGTACATATCAGATTTTCTTGAAAGAGCTCCGTGTCTGATGTTTAAATACTGCTGTTTACTAAAATTGTTATCTAGAATAAATTCTAGGGCTTCTTCAGGCGTATACTTTACAGTTTCTTCTTTAGGCGAAAACAGCATTTTTCTAATTTTAGCTGGTCGAGATGGGCTTTTGCTTACTTCTTTTAGCACGACTGCTAAATCTTGCATTCCTTGTTGTCGTGCCGCCATACTTGCAGCTTGTACTATTAATGATGACTCATGTTGTTTTTCATGTGATAACTGCGAGGCTTCTCTTCTTTTTGATCGATTCGATTTTTCAGAAAACGGAATTGTGGGACGGCCGAAAGATGTAGATGGCATAGGTTCATTTATTTCAATACTAAAATCACTTTTTAGCCAATTCGAATTTTTTTTCTTAAAATATTCCTTGTTCCGCAACGCTTTAGTCCATCTTTCATCAAAACTGCGACATAAACGATTAATTTTTTCTTTAATTTTTTGTGTATTAGATGAATTTATCTCTTCTCCTACTTCCTCTATAATATGAAGATAAATAGCAGAAAATGTATCGCCTTTGTCTCTTTCTTTTAGCCACAGTTCAAAACAGTCTTCAATTTTAAAACGGTGCATGGCTAAAAAAAATTTTTTTTTAGAAAGGGTAGCAGTTAGTAGCAAAAAAATTATATTGAATAACAATCACTGATAAAGACGGAATGTTATCGTAGTAAAAATATCTTGGCCAAACTCAGCCAAATTTTTATAAGTCTACCTAAATCTTGGAGTTTACAATTTTTAAAATAAATATACACTATTTATGTATTAATTAATTTAAAAAACTGGGGTGAAGAATTACGTATTTTTGTTTATAACAATTAAAAGTACATACCTTAACAATAATACCACAAGTCACTGAAAATCCAATTTTTAAAAATTACAAAAACAGCTCAGCTTTAAAGTTTGTCTACGCTCGGTGACTGCTTTACCGTAACTGACCACGGACAGAAACTACAACTTGTTGTTACCTGAGTTAGGTAGAAGGGGCGCTCAAATAAAATTCCCATTTAGGATTCGTGAGCTCTGGAGTATTAATTTTTAATATATCGACTTAAAAATGTATTTACTAAGAGTTGAAAAAATCACTTTTGGCCAAAAAATTCCTTTCTAGAAACCATAGTGCTTTCGGGCAAAACTTAACGTTCTTAATATAGGTATAAAGAATATAACTGACGATGCAGTCCATGAGCGCCGAAATAAATAATCCTATTGGGATAACAAGAAATTTACAAATATAATAAATTTTATAATAATTTTTATATATTTATTGCAAAATTAAATAAAGTCTTACAATTATTTATTATTATTAAACCAGTTCTACTCGTAGAATTTAAATTTTTGCATGTACCAATTTTCTAGTATTTAGGTGTTGAAAAATCTTAATATTTACTTTAGATCTGTTTTATTAATTTATTTAACGTCGGCCTATAACTACGATGTTATAAACACCGACGCTGGTAAGTATTATATACCCAAATACCAAAAATTTAACCGAATCCTCTAGTGTAACAACCAAAGGTAGGTATGTTTAACGAGCCCAACATCTATGCACTTGTAACCGATGGCTTTACATAGCCTCCGAAAGATGGAATACCCCACGTTATACCTCGTATTCATTGATATAACGCCTGCCAGCTATGGTATGCAACTACGCGGGCAGTTTGTTTGAGCTTTGAAGGTACGCCGTCTTTTCTTAAGATAG